GCTCTACTGGAAGCTAGAACTCTCGAAGCCAAGGTGGGAGTGGGCGATGGTGCCTATCAAGCTCGCGAGAACTGATATAATGCGAGGGAACGACCTCAGGCTGTTTGATATGTTACTGATACTGATAAAGGAAGCCAGGGGCATGTTCGTGGCTCTGGTATGTTTGGCATGTCTTCGACTGTCAGCCCATCTCATTGCTGGGAGTTCACGGAACGGCCAGGATAATCCAGGTATCTCACGTGCCATCATGTCGAATGACGAAGCCCACACAGAAGACGTGCGAGTATGGGAGAGCCAGGGATCTATTGTAACCTAGTGACGCCGTACACCTCTGGCTCAGGTTCGACCCTAGGAAAGTGGGAGGAAAACACCTATGAGTCGCTGGCGAGTACAGAGCTGAGCCCCAAACGCGCCCGGACCGCTGGCAGCCAGGCGGACGCAGCCAGGGACATCACCGAACAGGCATTGCAGTTCATCAAGTATTTACACGAGGCCGTCTCGCACAAAGTACGGTCGTACACCATCGGATAGCTGGAGAATGACGCGCTGCGACTTGTCTACGGCAATTGTATGGGGGTCGTGTTCGCAAAACGAATTGAATTTCTGGGGATGGACGCGACTCTGTTCTCATTGGTCGTCGTTGCGATGGGTGCTGCGAGCGACTACGAGCTTGAGGTTCATCCAAATGTGTACTGGCCGCGAATCGAAATGGCGATACTCCGCCTAGAGGGACAGGGCAAGGATGGCTCGGAGGTGCTCGAATACGACTTTGATGTCGACAAGAAAGCGCATCGCTCGGACAAGGCGAAGACGGATCGGAGGTGCTCGAATACGACTTTGATGTCGACGAGAAAGCGCATCGCTCGGTGTACACCGAGTTCGGATTCATCGCGATCGGGCGGGGCACGATGGTCATCCCCGCGAAGGCACGACCCAGAGCGGGAGCGGCGTCGGGCGTGCAGGCATCGGAGGAGCCTGTCGAGAAGGTCGCTTGGCCACACGCGGCACAGACGGGGGAAGACGTTCTAATTCGCAAGATTCGCTCGCGTCTGGAGGCTACGGGCATTCAAAAGAAGAAGATACAATGGAGTCACATCGCTGACCTGAAGGTGGCGATGACGAAGGACAGAAAGGATGCGAATCTGCCTCGTCACGCGATGGGCTTGTGCCCTGACGAGCAGGATGTATGAGTCTGTCGCATCCTTATTCTCGAGTGCTATCGCTCTCTCTGGGCTATCGGCTCGCCGGCGGAGTTCCTTCAGGTGTTCGTCCAAGTCGTTCGTATGTCATTTACGTTAAAGTCATCACTGTCACTCTGATGCGACGTAGTACATGTACAAATTGTATCATATGGCGCTAGATTCTTAAGAATGTGACTCATTGATTCGCACTGGCGACAACGGTGTGGCCCTGGTAAGAAGGTCGAAGCCGCTTGGCTATCCTGGATGTCCTCCGCACTTAACCGTGAGTGCGCGCCAGCTTGAACTGCTAGAGCAATGCTTATATTCAATCGTGACATGCTGCGAAACGTCCAGCAGGCCACGAGCTTGATGACAGGCTGGGCTGGCCACTTAAATGGCGACTGGGGACGAGACTGACGTACAAATGAAGCGAGGTTGAAGATAATGTTCGTAGTATACGCGCTTCTACGACATGTACACCAGCAGAGTACATAATATACACTGCGTGCATATTCGCCGACCCTGCTGCACTAGCCCCGCCAGAGTTAGGGTCTAGAGATGGCATAACGAGCGTCATGGTTATCCTACAGCACATAACCGCAGTAGAAGCATCTTGCGCAGCTGCGGCTCGCATCACGTCAACGTATGCGCAAACTCAGAGCGGTCATACTGAGGCGGCTCATGCTGGATGTTCGGCGTCCGGTGATCCCTGAGCCAGACGTGGGCTTTCAGCGGGGGTATCCACCTATCAGCGAGGGGTACTCACATATGTGATGTAGTCCGGGCTCTCACATGCCTTGTATTCCTTGAGCAGCTCCTCCGCAGTGGCTCTAACGAAGCGTTCAGCGCATGCCTAACGAACGCAGCAAGCATCATCCCACCGAGCGTCATCGAACTCCTCAAGCCCGTTCTCGAACATCTTCTCCTTCTTGTACTGCTCCACAAACGCATTTCGCTTCTTCAGCCTATCGAACTGGTCGATCATCCGCCTGAACAGCTGCCCAAACCCCGCTCTGCGTCAGCACCTCCCCTCAAACGCAGAGATCATGTACAGTGATGCACGTACGGAGGCGATGCTGGTGTGGTTCGCGAGCATGAGCCCGCTGACGCGGTGCGCGGTGCTGATATAGGGTGACTTGCGCGTGAGGGCGACCTGAATCGATGCGGGGCCCCACGGGATGAAGCTTGCGAGCTGGCGCTCGCGGATGCGTAACAGCGATTGGTGCACCTGGCGCCAGCGGTTCAGTTAGTTTGTCGCCCGGCCGTCATGGAAGAGGGGGTGCGCACGTCTGTCGGGTCGACGTCACCCTGTATGATGTTGAGGATAGAGATGTAGCACGCGGTCTTGCTCGGCGTCGTCGAGACCATGCGGTTCTTGGGCTGCAGGAGGCGGCGCATCACGTCGAGGACAGTTGTGCGCCGGATCGGCTTTGCCTGTGTTCCATGTCAGACGACGCATGCGGGATACTGAAGGACATGATTGACCTTGTCGATTTGGTCGCTCGTGAAGGGGGTATACGAGGTCATGAGGAAGTGGCATCGCGGTGTTGGAATCAGAGACGCGATGATGCCGACGAGGTCGTTGTTCATATATCCCGGGTATCGGAGTGTTTGCGTGCTGGCTGCCATGACAGTCGAGACCTGCGACGGGATCAGCCGTAGTAAAAGCGCTCAGTTGCAGACACAGACCAACTGGTTCGTCTGATCAAATGTTGGCGTTTGTACGTGAAGCCTGTCAGCCGATATCCGCGCTAGGGCGCCGTTGTCGAGCACAACAACGGAGTCGGCGTGGTTTGTCAGTCGCTTCAGTGTGAGAAGTGCGTTATAGGGCTGTACAACGACATCACCCTCCTGTGCGTTCGGGAAGACGGAGTAGGTCTGGATAAGTTTCTTTGGGAACTTGTCGTTTAGGCGCTCCAGAAGGAAGGAGCCCAGGCCTGATCCTGTCCCGCCTGCTATTGAGTGCATAAGCATGAAGCCCTACAACGGCCGTCAATGCGTCGGATAAAGCCATGCGCAGCAAACTGACCTCCAGTGAGTCGCTGCCTTCAGCTTCTCGATCAATCATCTCCATTACCTCCTCGTATATCCGCTCGCCAGCAGCATATCCTTGTGCCCAATTGTTACCAGCGCCGCCGCCATCTTGCGAGACGAAGATGTTCTCGGGGTTGTAGAGGTTGGCATATGGAGACGAGAGGATACCATGTATAACCTATGGATACGTCTCAGCACATAGAAAGACGCGTAAAGGCGCGCCGTACACGGGGTTCCAGATCGACTAGGATTGCTCGCGGGATGTAGTGCTCGTCGTCCGCTTGGTAGAAGAATACATCTTTCCTGTCGCCGCCCTCGGTCGCCCACTCTTCCAAGATGCCTTCCTTGTTAATCCCATGTTCTGCGCAGAGCCTTTGCCAGTAGACGGACCCCACTTGGGACGCGTCTCGGTTAGATCTCCATCAGAGCGCACGCTAATGCAGAAGGCGGCGCACTCTGGTTGCCACACTGGCCCAGCTGGACTGTTACGATTTCCCGCGGCATCTTGATGTTTTATATGGGATAGTTGCTTGTATTTGATGCTCTTTATGATGCACCCGGGTGTGAAGAGTGGTAGAAGGAGGAGGCGGGGGAGACGCGATGGCGGCGAGGGAGAAAGACTTGGAGACGCCACAACCGCGCTTGGGCCCACGTGGTCGATGTCTCTCTCCCACGCTCGGTGGCTGGTCCAACAGGCGTCCACAAACACACCGCCGATCTTGGATCATCGCTCGCCCGTCCGCCGATCTCATCGAGAGCATCCATCCCCGTTATCATCAACTCATGACCGATGAAAATGCGCAATATGCGGTCTTCAATCAAAGTCTCGCCCGTAGATTCCTGTCCCAGCCAGGCATCCTGGACTCTGATCCGATAGACAACTCGTCTTCTCTCGACGACTTTGCTTTGTACCTTGCATCTGAAGCGTGGCCCGCGCTCCCGCCCTCTATCCGCTCGGCTACTTATGATCATCGCGGGGAGGTACCGGACGTGGACACACTGGGCCTCGAGACCGTTCCGACAGCATTCGTCGACACACTGATCTCATGTGGCATTGCGGACGATGTCGACGACGTAGTAGCCTTCTTGCGCAAAGTCCTCGCCGACTACATAGAAGAAGTCACCGCACCACCCCCTGTCTGGTCAAAGACCCGCACATCGGAGTGTGAGATCTGTGAGCGCGAGGTGCCGGTAACATACCACCACCTTATCCCCCGAGAGGTGCATACCAAGGCCCTCAAGAAGAACTGGCACTCGGAGGGGATGCTCAACTCTGTTGCATGGCTTTGCAGGTGCGCCTCCGATTTGCCACTTCCATCTCTTACCCGCCGTCACGAACAATATATCTATGGTGTACTAGACCTTGCCACTCTACCGTGCACCGGGTAGCGAATAACGAGGAGCTCGCTAAGCAATTCTACACAGTCGACCGACTGCTGGAGCGCGAAGATATACAGAAGTGGAGGAAATACATATCCAAGCAACGGTGGAGTGTAAAGCGAGGTTAAGTACAAAGATGTACAGCAAGTACTGCGAAGCCATGTACGAGCACGCTCTTGATTCAATGCAATCTGTTGCGACCCGGACGCGACCTCACTAGTAGGCCTCACTGGTTGCACTGAGGGGCGCTGGCCGTCACAGCAAATCCATCCACAGTATAACACAGCTACAGTGTAGAATGCCCTATGTAGGACTCGGAGTCCTTTGACTTTCTGCGTTGGCCCGGTGGCCGTAATGTAGCCTCGCTGCTCATACATGGATACTGACTGGGCCCTGATTCCTATCGGCTCAATGGTCTAGTCGTATGATTCGCGCTTCGGGTATTCCCGAGATATCCCACAATCACGTGACACCTGCGCGAGGCCCCGGGTTCAATTCCCGGTTGAGCCCTTTGTTTTTCTCTTTTTTTAATGCTGTATGCTCCATTTTAAGTGTTGGAAGATGTCCAGCAAGAAAGATAGAGTGTGAGTGGATTTTCGGATGAGCAGATTTTGGCGGACGCGCGGTGTAAGCATTACGTCGCGGCGTTTGAGATAAGATAAGATGAATGAAACGGGCGTTTAGATGACGAGCCGCGTTCGAACGTCATGGCGAAGGGGCTGCACGCCGACCCAACGCCGACCCTCGGTACTCTGGCTGTCGAAGCAGCCGGCTGCTCCCGTCTTTCCTCCTCCTCTCATGCTTCAGCGTTCTGTGACCAAACATATCACCAGAAATGCCACGACGGGATCGACACAAAGGATAGCTGTAGGAGTCCAGCGTGCGCTCTTCACACGACGAACGAATGCGACTGTGGCTACTGCATCCCAGGACACGACGGAACAGTGTAACGAGGTGCGGACCAGCCCACTACATAGCGGTGTGGTAATTTCTTTATGCTTGCCACACATTCTAGCGGCACGAAGGGTGCGTATTTGTCGACTCCATCTTCCCGCTGCGCCTCGGGGTCTGGGAGTGAGTACCGTGTCTGTTCAGGTGCACGTCGCGTTGCTGAACGCTCGCAGCATCCGCCGCTACGTGAGCTACTTCCGGAGAGAGACCCTCCTCGACGAGCTCCACGCGCTCTTCGGGAATGTCAAGGATTACGGCTTCAAAATCGTCGCAGTGGAGCCGCACGAGAAGGACGGCGGTGCCTTCATCCGGTTCTCCTATGACGCGACGGCAGAGAACGCCGAGAAGGACATCGTGCAGCGGCTGCAGGAGCTGGCGGCGGAGCATGGCGGGGTACCGTCGTGGTACGGCGTGTCGCGTGGGGACATCTGGCCGGTGAAGGGCAAGCCATGGCGAGAGGTGCGTGCTAGAGGCCAGCGACCGACACTCGTTCTCACTCCGCCCTGGAAACCGCCAGGACATGAACCGCTTCCCGTCCCCCATTCTTCGAGTCTCGTTTGAGGGCCCGGACCTCCGCGAGGAGACCCTCTACGAGCTGCTCCGCGTACGCCCATCCCTCTCTTCTTCCGCATCAGCTTAGCCCGCTTACCCGCCACCAGCCGTACGGCCGCATACAAGACGTCTCGCAACCCACGCCGCCTCCTGTTGCGGGCGGCCTGCGCTTCTCCACCGTGACCTTCAGCCGCCTGCGCTCCGCTGCGGTCGCACACAATTCCGTGCACGGCTTCGCGGTGCAGTCCCCGACGTCGTCCGCGAAGACGATTTTGCGGACGACGTACCAGGCGCCGGTTCAGGCCCACGCCGTGCGGGACTATATCGGGAGCCATCCGCGTATATTCCTGCCGGTGCTGTTCTTCCTGCTGGGCACACTGACGTACACGGTGCGTGCTCGTTCCGTATGTTTGCTAAACCGTCCCAGTGAACTTACTGTTGTGAAGATCTTCGACCCTATCCGTGTCCTTTTCGTCGAAGGCACACTCGAGGGTTGGTTCGACATCAAGCGTATGCTCCCCTCACTTCAGTATTGACTATCACTGACGAAGGAGCCCGACAGAGTTCCAGGCTTACCAGTGGCTCCGCAACACTGCCCTGCCCAGGTTCTCTCTGACAGCCACCACGAATAGTGAGGAAATGCACACTCCAGCTCAGGATGTATGGAAGGAGCGCAAGGACGCGGAGACAGCGTTGGAAAGATATCTCAATGATTTGCCCAGTACGCACCCTTACTCTTCGCGGAGTGTCGTCGGCTCATGCGTGATATTTAGACACGGTCGCATTCGTCTATGGGCCTCAAGGAAGTGGCAAGACCACTATGATATCGACCTTGCTCAAGCAGTCCGGAAGGTATGTGTATCGATGAGGGCACCCGTGAAGCGTGCGCCTGAGTAGGTTTGAGTACAGGAAATCCTTGGTCATCGACGTGAAAGAGCTGTCGAAGACAACGTCCGATGCAGCGCTTCTCTCGTCCCTCGCGCGCCAGACAGGCTACTGGCCCATCTTCTCTGTCTTCAACTCGTTCAACAACCTCATCGACCTCGCCAGCGTCGGCCTAATCGGGCAAAAAGGTGAGTCACTCTCCGCCCCTTCCCTCTACCCGTCTCTTACTATCTTCCAGCCGGCTTCAGCACCTCGCTGAGTGACCAGCTCAAGCAGATCCTCGAAGTGGTCGGCACAGGGCTCGGCCGCGTGAACACGACGCACCGCAAGCGACACGAGCGCGCGGTGCAAAACGCCCGCCTTGCGGAGCGGCGGCGCGCGGAAGAGGCGCGGGTGCGCGCACGGATCGAGGAGGGCGCGTGGCACGATGGCCGAATCGACTGTCTTGCGGGCAACGGCGTCATGAGCGAGCTCGGCGTCGGCGATGAGACATTCCACCCTGAGGAGCGCGTGCTGATCGTTGGTGCTGTGTCGTCGGGCGAGGAGAAGCAGGTGGAGGAGAAGGCGCCGCGGCAGCGGGAGAGAAGCATGGAGGGTGTGCGGGCAATCGAGGCGATGCCGATTGTTGTTGTGAGAGGCTTTGAGAGCAAGGGCGGGGGAGCGAGTAAAGAGGAGATGCTCGACGTGTTGTCGCGGTGGGCGGCGAGCCTTGCGCAGAACCAGGTACGCCGTCTTCAAGCATATCCGCACCGCAAATGCTCAATTGTGTTCTAGGTGGCTCATGTGATTGTCGTGAGCGAGAACCGCGAGAACGCGAAGAGGGTGGCAAAGGGTGCGTCGGCCCATGTAAGGGCTTCCACAAATTATGGTCTGAACTGGACGCCCAGCACTGCCCTCGCAGCCTCTCAACGTCGTCACGCTTTCCGACGCGGACAACTCCAGTGCACTCTCATTCGTCAGGCAGAAGCTGCGAGACAGTGGCATTGACGTCAAGTTCAACAAGGAACAGACCGCATACATCCAGCGACTCGGCGGACGCGCAAGCGACCTGGAGAGTGTGCGTGTCCTCTCCCCACTCACCAGCGTGTTTCGTGGGTGCTCAACGAACACAATGTAGCTCGTGCACAAGGTGCGCAACGGGCAGACCGTGCAAGAGGCGATCGAGGACATTGTCACTCGCGGCGTCAGTGAGATCCGCAAGAACGCGTTTGGCGAGGACCTTGAGGACGCGAAGAACTTGCCGTGGTCGCGCGAGCAGGCGTGGGCGCTGATGAAGAAGCTCTCGCAGAAGCCTGAAGTACGCGTTCTCGTCCATGTCTCTTGTCTTCACGCTGGCGCGTGCTCAACGAACGTATAGATCTCTTACTATGACGTGTTGATGGACTTCCCATTCAAGAACGATGAGACCGCGCTCAGGCATCTGGAGCATGCCGAACTCATCGCCATCGGTACCGAGAACGGTTGGTCTTTCGCTACCTATATCTAGTTGTGATTTAGGACGTTGACATTGCATGTGTAGGCCGGCCCTCGACCATCAAACCAGGCAAGCCAGTCTATCAGTATGTCTTCGAGCGGCTCGTACAAGGTCAGTCATCTGCACGTCGTACATGGAGTCCCTGGAGCTGACAGTTGCGTAGACCCGCTCATCCGTGCTACGCAAGACATCGCCTTCAATGAGCGGGTAATTGCTACCTCGGAGAGCACGATCAAGTCGTACGAGCAAGAACTCTTGACCCTGAAGGATGTCGATGCCGGGACGGCGGACTGGATGGGCTCGCGGACGGCTGTGCTTCATCGCATGAACTACCTCCTGAAGAAGATGCGGCTAGCGGGCGACAAGATCGAGATGTTGGAGAAGGAGAATGCCCGTTTGAGAAAGGTGCTTTCAAAGTGAGCTCTCTGCCTTCGGTTTCACTGTACATACTTTGTCTCTGTCACAACCACTGTTCCCATAACACAACATGGATGTTATTGCTATCGTGCAACATAACATGGATGTTATTGCTATCGTGCAACATACGCCTACGCCAATATACTAACAGTGTGAAATATAATACGCAATGCATGAACCGTCAGCCCTGCGGATGTGCTACTGATATACCTATGAACATGTGGTGTGCGAGCCTTCAGCCCTTCGAGATGTGTGATGCGTACGTTCTACCTACCTATGATGCGACGAAATGCAATGCGATGTGTACGTATGGCCTTCAGCCTGTGACAATCGAATCCGACAGAGCAAGTCACGAGTTAAGAACAAACCTGAGACATGTGAAAAGCGAGAAAAACATGTGATGTGACAACAATGATGAGGAGAGGAGAGGAGGTAGCACGGAGAAGATTTGATGATGATAACGTTTGTGGGACAAGATAAAGGAAAAAAACCCAGAGAGAAAGATTGACGATGTTCAGCGTTTAACGCCCCTACGAATGGGTAGCTTCTTCGTGACTCTGTTCAGCGGCGCTGTCCCGATGTTGAACACTGCTTGACCATCAGTAGGTAAAGCCTGCGTACCACCGAAGGACGAGCTCGGGGCGGGTGCAGCTGCGGGCGCCTGAGCGGTATTCTGTCCGAATTGGAACGCCGCGTTGTTCGTCCCTCCAGCTCCTGGCATGCCACTCGTTGTCGTGGCGGGGGATGCTGGTCGGCTGCCTGTCGATGAGAAAGGATTCGACGGCGCGGTAGTAGACGTAGGCGTTGGACCAAACGAGAATGCTGTTGCCGGAGGAGGAGCCCCGAAAGAGGGACTGGGCGATGAGGCTGGAGGCTGTCCAAAGCCACCGGTGCCTCCTCCCGACGTCGAGCGACTAAACGCAAACGGTGCCGCCGTAGGGGCCGCTGCAGACGGCTGCCCAAAGCCACCTGAGCCACCGAACGGAGCACTGGCAGGCTTCTGTCCAAAGGCGAACCCAGAGCCGCTAGGCTGACCAAAGCCGAAGGCGGACGATGGCTTCCCATCCTGCTTGATCTCAGTCTTAGCTCCACCGAAGATGCTGGGTGCGCTCGACGATCCACCGAACGCGAACGGGGTGGTAGCGGAAGATGCGCTAGCCTGTCCGAAAGGCGATGGACCGCTTGGTTGGCCAAACGAGAAGGCAGTATTGAGCTTCAGAGGCTGCTTTGC